CCCGGCGTCCCGCGCCCCCCTGCCGTGGAGCGGCCCGACGGAGCGGAGCGAGGCGGTAAGTCGGGGCGAGTGGGAGGCTGTGATGCCCGCGCCCGCTGCACGCGGGACAGCTTCGTCCCTGCTCCCCGCGGAGCGCGCGGGAGCGCGTGGCACCGGCGTTTCCATTCCTGGAAAGCAGGAGCTGCGCCCTAGCCGGGACATTGCGCTCACGCACACACACGCACATACACGCTCACACACGCGTGCACACACACACATTTGTTCAGGAAAAATCTTGAGTGATGCCTGCACTTTGTCGTGACCGTATCTGAGTGAGTAGAGAAGCAAAGCCCCCTCCGTCCTCCCTCCCGCCGCTAGTCTCCTCGCCTCCGCCTGTCACGCAGGAGACAGCGGCTGCTCTTCCAGGGAGCTAAGCGTCGGGGCCTGGCCGGCGCGGGGCTCTGGCCTCGCCGAACCTCGCGACTCCTTAAATGGCTGCCTGGCGCCGGTGCCGTGGGCAGCGTGCGCGTGGCCGTGTGGGTTGGGGTCCAGGGTCCCTCTGCCCTCTGCCCTTCACCTCTGTCCTGCACCCCGCCCGGCCCGCCGCGGCCCGGCCGGGGACGGAGAGGGGAAGGCAAACATCAGCTCCTCTGGAAGCCGAGCCCCGTGGATTCCCACGCTCAACTCCAGCTCCGGCGGCCACATGGAGGGGAGGGGTCCGGGCGCAGCGGGTGTGACGACCGCCGCGTGTTCTCAGAGAACTCACCGGATTGCACGCCTACTAACTCGAATTCTCCGTCTTGATCGACCTATGTGAGGCTTCATGGAGGTGTTCAACGTTGCTCTTCTCCCTGCTCAGTCTCAAGTCCGCCTTCTGTGGGACTGGGTTCCATGTCAGAAGATCAAGGTCTTCCGAGGTCCAGCAGAGGGAGCCAGGGGAAAGCAGCAGGGACTTCAGAACCAGTCACAGGGGTTGGGAAGACAGAGCTAATTACCTGGATGTTTGACACACACACACACCACTTCTGAAGGCTGTTCCAGTGAACGTCAGTGCTCCTCTTATGACTCACTTTACCACAAATAACTTGACCTTTGCGTTTATCATTTGAGATTTTTCTTAAATCTTAGGGATTCGGGATTCTGCGTGTGTGAGTGTGTGTGTGTGTGTGTGTGTGTGTACTTCATAGAATTTTTCAATCTTCATTAAAATAACATGATCTTAAAAAACCATGGCACAGCTTCCTGCCTGAGGCCGAGGGCTTCCTTCCCTGACCCGGGTCAGCCTGTGCGGGGAGCTGCTTTCTCTGCCTGGCATCTTAGCCGGGGTCCCCACCCATCTGCTCACACTGGAAGTCAGAGGGAAGTTCTAGCTCAGTGTGCATGCCTCCCCCCAGCGTCCGGGACACATCAAGCCTCAGTAACAAAGGTCTACCAGGGGAGACAAGAGAAAGTGCTCCCTGTACATCAGAGATTGTGTGGCCATGTTCCTTGCTAGAGCTGGAGGTTGTGTGGCCATGTTCCTTGCTAGAGCCGGAGGACGGGAACTGGCGAGCCTTGCTGCCTTACCCACGCACAAGCTGGCTGGGAAATAACTCTGTTGCTCCATGTATGCGGACAAAAGCAAGACCTCCAAGTGCTGCTGTAAATTTTCTGAGTGTCTGCAGTTACTGTGCACTAGAAAAGAGGATGCCAGGGATTCCCGAGACAACACTGCGTAGAGCTGAGCTCTATTTTTCAGATATGAATATATAGATTTCCTTTTGCTGATTTGGCATTACTTTTATTCTTTTTATTTTTTTGCCAGTTTGGGGTTTGAACAGTAGGTCTGGGCGCTGTCCCTGAGCTTCTTTTGCTCAAGACTAGCACTCTGCCACTTGAGCCACAGCGCCACTCCCAGCTTTTTCTGAGCAGTTTATTGGAGGTAAGAGTCTCACAGACTTTCCTGTCCAGGATGGCTTCAAACCACAATCCTCAGATCTCAGCCTCCTGAATAGTTAATGGCAGGTGTGAGTCACCGGTACCCAGGTATTACTGTTTATTCTGTAAAAAGTAACAGAGAGACTCACATGCCTTCTGCAAAGATTCACCTGTGTAATGGAAATGATGCTTAGCACAAGTCCAGGACATATCACAGATTATCAGCCTTTGAAATTCCAAAATAAATTTGGTGTTCAGGGCAAAGTTTGAAAGTCTTTAGGATGGTCTTAAACTAGACATAAAAATGTGTGTGTGTGTGTAGGTGCACGTGTGTTCCCAGTTTGTATGTTTTATACTCAGACATCTATTATCTATTGTGAAACCAAACTGAGAACCATTTGTAAGTGCTTGGTTGTGGCCTTTGGGGTTCCAGGCAGAGCTGTAGGGCTCCCATTTGTATCATTCACTGCTTCTGCTAGCATCAGTATTCCCATTACCATGATCTTACAGAACACAGAGCAAGCAGCAGCACACGAGGTCAGCCCTGGGACACTCCCCCCCCCCCCCCCCGTCAGCCCAGCGCACTTGCTCCTCAACCAACCTCTTCCTGTATTTGATGCTGCGGTCAAGAAAACTTGAAATCAAGCAGTTGAGGTACTGAGTTTGGCAACCATCTCTGAATTTTTAAGAAATGAATTCTTAAAAATGAATTCTTAAAAAGTTTATTCAAGACTTCTCAAGCAGTGACAGTTACTCCCCTTCCTTCCTTTTTGCCCTTCTTCCCTTCCTCTCTCCCTCCGTCCCTCCTTTCTTTCTCCCTCCCTCCCTCCCTTCCTCCCTCCCTCTTTCCTTCCTTCCTTCCTTCCTCCCTCCCTTCCTCCCTTCCTCCCTCCCTTCCTCCCTCCCTCTTTCCTTCCTTCCTTCTTCCCTCCCTGCCTTCCTTCCTTCCTCCCTTCTTCCTTCCTTCCTTGCTGCCTTCCTTCCTTCCTTATTCCCTTCTTCCTTCCCCTCCCTCCCACTTCTCTCTCTTTCTCTCCTTCCTTTCTTTTTTGAAATCCCAACTGTTGACTTTGGAGATTATCTTGGAACAAGAGCATGAAATTAGGCTAATTGCTTCAGTTTACGGTGGTTGTCCTTTGACTTCTCTCCAGATAGGGAGTGTGGGTGTAAATGCTCCACTTACGTTGTGCGTTTCATTCTTTAACCATGACCTTTCCATGTGCGTCTACACATATTTGGTCTTTAGGAGGAATTTCTTGAAAGACTCAAGGGTTCTAGCCCTTGACCATGGTGGCGTTTTCTTCTGGGGGTTGTCCTGGCCAAATGTGTAATAGCAGTCCGGGATTCCTCCAGTGTCTAGGAGCACCATTCTGCCTTTTCTCTTTGTGTCTGCAGAGAGTGCCAATGCCCTGGGGTGGGTGTGGGGGGTCAGGAAGTCGCCCTCAGCTGAGAGCCATGGGAGCTAGCGGCAGGTGGTTCCTCTGTGGGTCCCTCCCCGCTCGTTCTCTGGGCGGGTACAGTGAGCTGCACAGACAGCACCTGCTGTCTCTTGAGAACCGGTGGTGACCTTCCCAGATGTTTTACCAGCTGAGGGTTAGGAATTAAAGTGGAGCGAGATAGAAATGGTTAAAATATCCAAACCCATCACCTAGAGTCTACTGTATGCCACCACGCCCAGCGTTCATTCTCAAGCCCCCGGCCCGCAGGGTCCCCACGCGGGCAGCGTGGCCTTGGCCACCGGCGCTGCAAGGCTCTTCTCCACTCTGTGCCCCACAGTATCACATTGCTCACAACTCCGGCCTTGGATGAGGTTTGCACCAGAAACATGAGTGAACCAGGCCATTTTCTCTAGCTAACTTGCTGCACATTGTTTAATAGAACAGCACATTGTGTGTTTGTATGAAAGACATTCATTGGTAGTGATTTTGCAGGATAAATATTATATGCTCTCCTCCCTAAATAAAGAATAAGTACGATTTGTCCTTCCAAAACAAAGGTCATGAGAATGTGGCTTAGGTCATGGGGAAACAATTTGCTTTTTAAAGATAGTAATCCCTTTTTATGTGCAATAAATTTTGCTAATTCGCCACAGTTTGAAACAAGTCCATGAACGACTCCTATTGCTGGACTGCTGAGAAAGGGTGGTAAGGGACCGGTGCAGCGTGGAGAAATCCTCCTGGTGCGTGAGAGATCTGGGGTGCAGGAGAAGAGCCCAGAAAGCAGGGAGGAGAGGGGACAGGAGAGGGCGCATGGTAAGGAACACGCTTTGGAGAAGGAACGCAGACTGGATAGGTGCGCACCGGCCGTTTCTTCCTGGTGAGCGGCTTGGAGACAGACCGAGCCCCTCCCACCTGCCCCAGGCCTGCCAGGCCTCCACCGTCCACCTGCCTTTACCACAGAGTGCAGTTTGAGCACACCTGTCACACTTTCTCAAGTTCCTGAGTGACACTTTAAGCCACGTGAGTTTGCCCTACCCGTTCAGACGCGCGGCCCCGGCTTTGATGCCTTGTCTAACAGAGCCTGCTGCCTCAGTTTCTGCCTGCGGACGCCAGACCTGCTTCATGGCACAGGTTCCCATCACCCCGCTCACACCGTTTACCTCTGTGAGGCAGCCTGGCTCTGACACAGGTTTGATATGCATCAGAGCTTCTGAGGAACAGGGAAGCCTTAGTGACAGAGGGCTGGTCATGCCCTGTGACCCCTGCCTGCCCTGTGACCCCTGCCTGCCACCTGGTCACCTGCTCCATTGTCATGCCCACCTGACTCCATATCTGTGCCCTCTGACCTCTGCCTGCTCTGTAGGACTGTCTGCCTGGCTCATAACCCCTGTGCTGCCGAGGCCCCTTCACCAAGAGCACTGGGCCCTCCAGGCAACGCACCCAGTCCCAAATCTAATGAACGCCTTTGCTGACAGTCTCCTGAGCACCCCGTGGCCTGTTCCTGGTCCCCCACACCGCTCCTGACCGGGACTGGACAGGCACATAGAGACCAGTATCTGTGAAGAGCTTTAGTGTTAGTGGTGAAGGAAACCATTTCACTCCTCCCATAACACCAATGTCTGTCCCTTATCGCCATTCTGCCGTAGTCTCCTGGGCATCCCACTTAATGATTTAATAACAAAACAAACAACAAAGAGTGTCTATCACCTTTTTATTCTTTTCACCTGTTTTCTGAGAAATCATAGTGCAAGAAACAAGAATATGATAGAATTATAATTTCAGAACTATGAAAATAATTATATGTAACAACGACTCAGGGGAACGTTATGAAATTTAATCACAAAACTTCAGCTTTGCATTTTATTTGGTTGGGAATCGATTTTCTCTTTTAGTCGCATGGAATTTTCTAGACTGGTAATGTGGTAGTAGAAAGCAGTGGCTGAAACCTAAAGGATACCTTTAAGGGTCCCCTGTGACCCTCATGGTCCTTTTCAGAGTGGGTGTGTGCTGCCTTTGCCTACCTCGCTCTGCGGTGAGTGCGTGACAGGCATGCCCATGCCCTGTGATGTAAGAACCCCTGAGTCAGGACCTGTGGTGACTCAGACGCTCCCTGCTCTCCATTTTCAGAGTACGACCTGGTGTCTGCTTACGAGGTTGACCACAGGGGAGAGTTTGTGTCCCACGAAATCACACACCACCAGCGGCGCCGACGTGCAGCAGACCGGCCCGGAGGGGACACTCTGCACCTCCGGCTGAAGGGCACCAGGCACGACTTCCACCTGGACCTGAAGGCTGCCAGCAGCCTGGTGGCTCCTGGATTTCTGGTGCAGACGCTGGGCAGGCAGGGCACCACGTCCGTGCACGCGTTCCGGGCCGAGGACCTCTGCTTCTACCAAGGCTCCTTGCGCCACCAGAGGAATTCCTCGGTGGCTCTTTCCACCTGCCAAGGTTTGGTGAGTACAGGCAGCCCTCACCGAGGTGAGGTGTGGGTGGCAATGGGGAAAGAAGCAAAGCAGAGAGCGCCCTCTAAATCCCATCACTTGTGTTTCTGTTACTGTGCTGTGCACTTCTTTGATCCGTAAAAAGCAAGTGGAAAAAAATATGTCAAGTGATACTTTAAAAAATATGCTCTGCAGCCACCCTGGGCCCACTTGGAAATAATGTCCACACTCACCAGCCCTACTCATGCGCCCATCTGTTGTTCTGCACTAACTGTGGAAGAACACTGCTGATAGAGAAATATACGTTGAAATCTGTGGCCCAGTCTGAATGGATTCACTTCATAAGGGGATTTTGTAATTTATTTTACATGATCAGAACTGGAAAAATGTCAGTGGCTTGGCCGTGTGGATTATTTGTAGAATTCTGAGTACTTTATGTCGCTTGCTCTGATAATGGTGACAGATGACAGATTAGAGGAAAGGTGAGGCTGGCCTTGTGGGTCTATGCCTGTGCTGGTGCCATCCTGGCCTTGTCGCTCTTTGCCTGTGTTGGTGCCTACTTGCTTTCTGAACATCTGATTTAAACAGTGCCTGAGGCGTCGATGCATTGGGGCCCTGTTAAGACTCTGACTGTTTCCCTCAATTCTGAAGCGCAATGTATTACCTTTTGTGCTTCTTAAAGATTTCCATGTTGTAATGGAAATGTCTTAGGAGATAGATTGTTTCAAACAAACGAATCTCAGACAACTAAAAGACAATTTGGCAGAATGAAAATATGTGGTCAAAACACTTCCAGGTCTTGAAAATGTGAAGGGTTTAGCAAATAGGTTTTTGGACTCTGATTTTCATCTCTTGAAATTGTATCGTCTGCCTAACAATAGCTTTCTTCATGACAGAAGAGCGCCCCATCCCCACAGCTCAGAAATCCATGTGTTATGCGGCAGTGTGAGATGCTGAAAATGGTTAGCCAGTTCTCTGAAATAACTAAGCATATGCATGTGCTAACTCCTATAAAATATCTCTAAGTTAGCAACATTCTGCCTTTTAAAGGAATTTGATACGAGGTGATCTCATTTCTACTTTCATGTCTGCAAGGCTTTGGGGCTTTGCTTTGAGAATGGACACAACCAGGAGTTACCAGACAGAGGGTGGTGCTTACTTGGCACTCTTAGTGAGCATGAAGACATAGGGCTGATTTCTCTTTAGCACTCCCAAGGAAAAAAATAGGTCTTTCCATTTCCATCATGCAAAAGTTTCAGACTCTCTTCCTTGGGTTTCCTCTGCAATGCCTTAAAACAGGAACACAAGTCATCTAGATGGCCGAAGGTGTGCCTTTCCCATCCCATCCAACTTGGTAACATTGAATTTGTCTGCAGAGATTTAGCAAGGTGCTTCTCCCATTCACCTTAATGATCCAGGCACAGTGGTAGCTCTGAGACTCTCAGAGGCCCGGCACTCTATGGTAGCTGAGTCTTGCCCTGGGATCTGTCCCATCAATCAAGTTGGCTGGCAATAATTCCAGATTGCTTGTCTCTGTCTGAACTTGATGGGAGTTAACAGCAAAAGTTGTGAGTGTAGAATTACATGAAAGACAAAGAAATGAAAAAGGATGTCATAAAAGGGCTCTTCCTTGGCAGTGAACAATGGAATCTGATATTATGGTCATGGGAATAGAAATTCTTATGCCTTCATCATGAAACTTCCAAGGACATAAATTCCAACTCCCCTGGTATTTCCTCTATAGCGCGTCATTAGGAGCATGACCTCAACTAGCCTTAAGAGTAAGAGAGTGGGGTAATTTGTCATACAGACATGCAAATCAAATGCATTGGAGAGAGGATAAAATGGTCCTTATCTTAGGCAGACCCATAAAAGTGATATAGATAAAAAAAACAGGAATGGAATCTTCAACAGCTATAAGGTCTGTTATTCTTTGCGATTATCTACCCCTCCTCTTGTGGTTAATCTGTTATCCCTAAAAGAAAGCTCCTTCCTGGGCCCATTGTCATTTGGGGCCCATTCAGATTCTGACTGAAGTGTTAGGTAGATCTCCGTTCTCAAGTGAGAGTTTTTGTTTTGTTTTGCTGCAAAGGACCAAACCCAGAGCCTTGGCCTGGGTCTTCAGGCTCAACACATGTGTCTCCCGGGAGTCACACCCAACAGCCCTTAGATGAGCATTTTTATAGGGTTTCTAGTTGCATTTTATTGACCTGGCTCCCTGATAGGAGTTGGGATTTGGTAGAACTTTCTGCTCTGCTCTTGATGTCTAACAAGGAAACTGCCCAACACACAGATAAACTAATACTAGGACATCAGATTTTTGTAGGAAAAAAGACCTCCTGTGGTCAGCCAGCAAGAAACCAGGAAAAACAAGCTCAGAGAGGCAGATGGAGATAAATCATAAATCTGGGGCTAAACTCTGCTGTTTCCACTAGTTCCTTCCTACCTAAGAGATAGTGCTCGCACAATGTTCAAGAATCCTATGAGGAAGAAGCTGTTTGCTGATGGACAGCGACGGTTTTAGGCTTTGTTTGTGCAGAATAGATGCTCACCGTGCCTTTCCAGAGGTGTGTGTCCTGTTTTTGTTCAGGCCAAATCATCATGTCCTGCCCAGGAGACTTTCAGCTATGCCAGCAAAATGCCTTTGCTTGGGTGACCTGGCTTCATCTACGCATGTCCATTCTTGAAAAGTTAGTCCCTAAGCGTCCTTGAATGGATTCCAGAAGCTTTACCTGAAAACAAGTGAAGACTGGGTTATTTGTGGGGTTTATGTCGGTGTGTGAGGTCTCAGTGACTCTGTTCTCATGTACTCGCTTTGGCGGAGTGGAATGGAGAACACATTGTAGAAAAAGATCCTGCCTTGTAGAAATACTCCTTTGTCTCCCTGTTCTACATGATGAAAACGCAACTTCAAAAATGTATGTTTTATGAGTAGAATATCTGATATAGTTTAACTGGACAACCTTATTCCCAGAGAAATAGTATGGGTTTGTTCTCCTCAGCCACAGATTTTGAATTTGGGTATATTTTCCTAATAGCCCTCTGAACAGTTGGTTGTGGCATGCTATGAAGTTTGTTGATGGTATTGATCTATTTGTAGTACATATTCAGAAAGAAGAGAAGAAAAGGGGACATAAGCATTGTATTTTAGATTTTACATTCTCCATAATGATATCCACAGTGAATGATCTTTGGAATGGTATACCCCTGGATCCTTCTGCATCTGGGCCTAAGGAGGCACTGGAGAGAAAGAGAGAGGTCTTACTACAGCCTAGCAAAACAAGACCGGTGTGGGCACCGGGAAGCCCTGGCTCCACCCTGATACCTCTACACACCTTGCTTGGGGGGGGGGCAGGGCCGAGCATCTTGACTGCATATACAAGGCTGGTGCCACCAATGAGTGACAAGGGCGAAGTCCACCAGGAGCGTTGCACTCGGGGACCGTCACGCACTGTTTCAAGGTGGACCTGGGGCAGCCTTGTGAAGCTCCCACCAGTTTCCTCCTAGCCCTGGATGTGGTGTTCTCAGGACATTCTACAAGTAGTCTTTGTAACCACAATGAAGGGAGGATAATTAATTTGATCTGGGATCACTGTGAGGATTTTCTGCATGGGTTGAAAGTGTTTTTGTTATTTTTCCCCTCAGCTCTTTGACTATATCATTCTACAGCCTTCTGGCTTCCATTGTTTCTGGTGATAACAACTTTTTAGTCCACTAGGGTTTGTACATCTTAAAAATATCATTATGCTCTTGATAATTTCAAGAGATTACTGGGTCATGGGCCAGTTTTCTCCTTAGTTTCTTCTTTGAACATTTTCAGTATGGTGGATGCAGGGTGGGTGTGTTCGTGATTATTCTTTTATTGAATATTCTGAAAGGGCAGTTTAATGTTTCATCAGTTGAGAAAAAAATATTGAGCCATTATTTCTTCGCTAATCTTTTCTCTTCCTTTCTCCCTTGCTTATGTTGTTGACAATGTCCCACGTTTCTCTGAGTCTCTGTGCATGTTAAATTATTTTGCTCCTCAGATGGCATGCTATTTGTTAACTTATAATCGAGTTTAATGACTTTTCAGGTAACAATTGAAATTTGTTACCAAGCTATTGAGGCAGAATACTCACTTTAGAGATCTTACCTTTTCTACCCTTTCATATCATTTCTCTTTATTTATGCTCTTTTTAGATATTCTCATCAAGGTCTAATTTCTTTCTTCCTATTCAAATCAATTTTTAGTGTACAATGAAGTATGTAACTGTTTGGACACAGAGTAAATGGTTACTGTGGGAATGAAATATCCTGTCCATCTTCCTAACAGTATCTCTCTTTATGTGTTTGTTGGGGAGGAGGGAGAAAAGCCCCTAAGCTATAGTCTCTTAGCAAACGACCAGTACGCACTACAGGATCATTAACTGTAATCACCATGCTCTCTGTTAGTTATCCAGATTCGTTTATCTTACATAAGTCTAGGTGTGGGTGCTTTAACACACTCCTGCCTGCTTAAGTCTTCCCTGTCTCTAGGGTCAATGTTCTAATTCGGTTTCCATGCATTTATTTTTAAGAGTCCACCCTTGAGAGAGATCATGCAGTATTTGTCAATGTCTGACTAATTTCAATTAGAATAATGCTTTCGCTCGAGTGTTGCAAATGTGAGTTTCTCCACCTCTAAACTATTCTCAACCAGGATGTCCACTGTTTTTGACAATGACCTTGGGTGTGAACTTTTCAACTTTCTGTTCCACTTAAAGTCATCCATGGTAGTTGAGTTTTTTGTTTCCACAGCCAATCTCCAGGGAGGAGCTTCTAACATTGAACTACAGTTGGGATTTCCAGAATGATCTGTTTCTCTACTTACAATGCCTGCTTTTTTATTCACAAGTTTTTGTTCCATACTAACCTTTTATTTATTTATTTTTTGTCAGCCTTGGGGCTTGAATTCTGGGCCTGGGTATTGTCCCACTGTCCCTCAGCTCTTCAGCTCAAGGCTAGCGCTCTACTACTTGTGGCATTGTACC